GGGGGGGGGGGGGGGGGGGTTCAGGTTAAATTAGTATAATGAAAAATGCAATTACGTATTTTTAAAAAAAAATTTTGAAACTGAAGATTTGCTTATTTTCCAAAAAAAATTTTGAGGTTAAAAAAATTTTTCAACGTTTATTATTCACGGGCAACCGGTTTTATTTTTAGGAAAAACGAGTGCGCAATAGGGTAAACATATTTTAATGGAGTATACATATATATATATATATATATATATAAAATGCCATGTTATATGGATTTACGCAATGTCGCCTGCTTAGCACATGGAAAGAAGGCTGAATGTCAATATAGTGAAATAACGTTTGGTCGAAGTAATATGGGGAAGCCCCCTTCTGTTCGGCCCCGGGGGTTCCCCGCACGTTCCGGCAGGACCCGCGCAACGTGGTATCTGGTAAACATATGCGGAGATAGGGGCGCGGTGATGGCTATTGGAACTACGAGGAAGCATCAGCGAACTTTCAGTGCGTGTCGGCCAGATGTCCTAAAGCCCAGCGAGGAAATTCCCAAAGGCACTGACTGTGCTCCTCGGATCCTCCACGTTCGCTTGGCCGTTCACCGACGGATGGGTACTAAATCCAAAACCCCGAAAATCCCCATTCAAGAATTAACCGTGCCGACCAGTGGGTCACCGGTATTTCCCAAAAATTCCATATTTTCCCCACTCCTCACGAACCCATTGAAATATCATTTCTCAGTCGAAGGAACGAACGGCCATTGAATCGTCAAAGAATTATCAGGCGTTTTACGTTTATAGAACAAACCCATATACGTATAAATGACCCATAAGGGATACGCTGATAATACAGGACGAAGGTTACTCGAGAGGTTTACGAAAACATAGATAAGTTTATCTGAGGGCACTTTTCAAAGGTTCTATGTTCTTTCTACCTTTCAGCCGATCCCGAGGATACTGCTGCGTACGCCGGGCAATTTAAAATTGTCCTTCAGGATATCCATCCCCGAAGGTCTCCGGATGGTATCGTCACAGGGTGAAAAGGTCCGCGACCAGTTCTTCCTCCCAGGGGAAAAGACGGTTCACGCCCTTTCCATGATTCTGCGGCTGAATGGGAAGGGAGGACCGGGATATACTCCACCTTTTCCACCCGCACTCCCCAGGGAGTAATAAGTCTGATTGCGTCAGCTGTCTTCATCGTTCGAGTGCTTTCTCGTCCTGGCTACTGAATTTCCCGGTCTTCTCGTCCTACCATACTGTATTTCGTGTGTGTGTGTGTATATATATATATATATATATATATATATATATATATATATATGTATATATAACTATACGCCACCTCCTGGTTAGCTTCCAGGGAGCTGTCCGTGCGGATGGCATGTGAAAGATACGCTGTGGTCTAATCCGCGCCGGAGGGTCGAGGGTGCACAGCAGATGGCCTCGTCGACGCCAATCAGCTAATCCTCCTGCTCTCTGCGCTTGACATCGGCATTACTATCCGCCGCCATGTTGTTTCTGCTTTGGCTTCTAAAGTCCCATAAAGGCTTGGGTACACTTGACGGGTATGGCGGAATGTAAATGCCATGAAATTAAGTCAAAATGACAGAAGTGTCACTTTTGGGTATCGAATAATAATAATAATAATGGCTTAATTGATCTAGTCTAGAACAATAGATTTTAGAATCAATGTGCGATCTATTTGTCCATTTAAATTTTCCCGCCACTGATCGTCCACTTCCCATCGTGCCTTGCGATTTGTCAGCGAGCGCACCTGCCGGCGGCTGAATGCATTAATGTATTTCAATGGACGCACAAACTTATTTATTTGCCGATCCGATCGCCAGTCGTTACTCCCGATGGGTGTCGGACGAAATTACAGAGAAAGGGGTTGGAGCTTGATTTGTGGACCGATCGGCGTCTTTCTTTTAACCGATCGACGTGGCAAAACGGTTTCTAATATGAATTTTCGAGCTTCCGTATAATTTATGGTTATACTTCTTATCTGATCCTTAGATTGGCCGCAGTAAAAAGTTCAGTGAAGATCGATCTTCGGTTTATTTGAAACATTTTTTTTTCCTCCTTTCAACCCCTAACTCACTTCTGCCGCTGAAAAGAGTTTCGTTACGGGTATCAACTGCGCTTGTAACACCTGGCTGGAATTTCTCGACCGATTGGATTAAGACGTATGGCATACCTTACGCCATTCAAGACGGATGCCTCGACTTTATTATTCTACAAGGGTAACTTATTCCTAGTTCCTTTTTACTACGTCCACTTCCTATACTCAGTCACATTCCCTCATTCACGTTCTATAACAATCCTCGTGCCTATTTCCATCCCCATACCTATTTCCGTATCCTTCCTGAAACCCTATGAAGTAATCACCCTTGGTCTAGGTATGTTTACTAAGGAAATATTCAAGTTTACCCTCGGGGGGTAGCACGTGTCCACACACGTGAAACCGGATAATACCAAAGTCTTGGTACTTTTTCAAAATTTTGGATTATTTTGAAAATTTTTTTTTTTACCAAAATTTTACAAAATTATTAATCAGTCATAATCTCTACTTTGATACTGGTACTCGATCTGGGATTGTGAAGACAAAAAATTTTTTTTTTACATAAAAATAAAAATCTGCCAAAATTTGTATATGGACAGATTTTTCAGGTGGACCGTTACATAACCTACAATATGATGTACACGGTATAGTTCATAATCTCTAAATATTTGATAGCAGCACCGCACAACTAAGGCCACATCTGCGCCTGTGTCAGCTTCAATTATTAAAACGCCATATGCCTCCGGCTGCTGCTCTCTGAGTACTCGTATACGCACGTACGCATATGACCGTATAAGCTTACGTAACGTATACTACGGGTACTGTGAATCTATATATGACACGGGTGGCGGAAGCAAGCCTGCCAAATGCCACTCTTCCTAAATACAAATCCCCCAATTCCACCTAACACGCGCAGCCTGTTACCTTTCGACATATTAAACGAGATTGCCTTTTGTAAAACAGTTGGCTATACGGATTCGGCTCCTGGTGAATGTGCCAGATGGGAATAATTGATCGGTTCGATTTTCATTACGAACAATGGTACGATTGAGCTGAAGAAAGAGCCGTGTGTAATATTTGAAAATTAAAAAAAAAATTTATAATTTTCTAAGTCTGTGAGAGTAAAAATTTTGGAATTTTGATTCAAGATTTTATATGGTTGAAGTACAAAATTTTTTTTTTTCAACAGACCAATATCGACTTTATACTACCCGCAGTATATGTTTTTCATGCTATAGGGAATTTTCCCTTTTCGTATTCCTGATAGCCTCTGTGTCTGTATACTAGTACCCTCAGTACCCATGACGTGTCTGATAACGCAATGGTGCCATTAGTTCGCCCTCTGTGCCAGGAGACACGTGCTGTTTCAATTACGGTGCCATAAGGGTGAATGCAGAGTGAATCCCCCTTTTTTCACCCTCCCTCTATCTCTTTCTCTCTCTCTCTCTCTCCCCCTAATTCTTTTCTCCTCGAAATAACGATATGCTATCTGCCTGAGAATTAAAGCCAGAGAACCAACCCGCTTTTTGTCAGTCGCGATAAACCCGGACCCGTGAAAGACACTCCAGAGGATTCCGCTTGTTTACCTCCATTCTATTTTTTTTCTCCCATTTACGATTTAACAAGCTCGAGTTTTGGGAATCGTGCATAAATTTGGCAGGGATGGGATAACGTGATTTTGAGATTAAAAAAAAATTTTGATAGATTTTTGTGCAATGGGTTATGTCCATTCCGACCACCGATAGCGTAATTTGTAATGGGTCGTTTTAGAGCTGGGAAGTAACCCATTGCCAGGAGCGTCTAATTAGATAAGGTAGAAAGTTGGGTTCTGATAACGATAGGGCTGGTTCCCAAGCAACGTGATACAGGGCGACGTGTCGCCGAGGTAAAAATCGCTATGTGTATTACGAGTAAAAGTAGGTTATAAAAATTTTTTTAACAGGATATGTCGCAAATATTTTTTGGATTTTTTAAATTTTTTGAAAAAATCGACATACGTGACAAATTATGTAAAATTGAAAATGATGTTAAAAAAAATGATTTTTTTACAAAATTTATTATTACCACCTTTATTCGGTGCTTATGAATTTTTGCAAAAATTGCATTTCCATGGCAACCGCGTCGTTGACGTAACTGAAAATCGCGTCGATAGAAATACATCTCGAGCAGCGAATTGGCAAGTGGCCGCATTAATTCCGCAGTCGTTCGCTCGAAATTAAATCGTTTCGTCGGTTTCGTTCTGCGGCCAAGCCAAATAAAATATGGCCGGTTCGCGACGGGCCGCTCCCTTGAATATTAATCGCGAAGCGTGTCCCGAGGATTCCACGTGTTTTTAGTTCGAGTTGGTCTGCACCGCACAAGGACGACAGTGTTAAAGTGACCAACCTCCCAAAAATTCCGTAAGACTTATTCGACGGAGATTCAAGCGTTTGATTGGAATTTGGCGATAAAAACAATTGCATTTAAAATCAATTTTTTTTTCCACAAATTATTCCGAAAGTTTACATTATACCTTACAAGGTGTACGTACACAAACCGCATACCACAATTTAAAAAAAATTATC